GGAACAGATGATGGGAATAATTTGAATTGGGATTTAATCTGTAACTGGTTATCATCAATTCAGTACTATAGTATTGACTGACAGTTTTATTTTGTATGCGTTTATTTCAGTGTGCACATAAAGTTCTGTGTGAATTCCTGGTAAGAGGTATGCTATCAGATTAGAGCTAGGTAAACTGGAGTTCTTTTATCCTTACTAACATGTACTTTTGGTGAAGGAAGCTTTAGTTTCCTCCAGTCTGTGTTTCATTTAACTGAAGCACAAAGCTTTAATCTAATAGTCTGTTGTTTTTTTTTTTTATTTTTCTCCTATTTACAGAAATAATTCATCAGTTCATTTTGGAACAGCAGAAAGGAAACAGAGTACCTCTCTGCATCAACCCTCAGTCTGCTGCTTTTAAGAGCTTTATTAGGTAACTGTATGTAATCACATCTGATATTAATTCACATTTATTATTAATACAGAATTCATACATCCATAATGTTTTTGTTTTGAGTTTCCGAGGATAAGAGAGGTCCATAGATAAATTCTGCAAAAAATGCCTTAAGCATACGTGTAGTTACATTTTTAAAATAACTGTTCGAACACTTAGATTATATGAATACTTAGAATTCAAATAAAATGTGTAAAGGTTTTGAGTAATATTTTTGTAAATACAGAAAATTACAGTAATCAAGACTAAAAATTTGGATTGAAAAGTTGAGTTCTGATTGTAAAATTGCACTGTAAAAACATTGAAGTGAATGACAATTATAGCTAAAGTATCGTTAAGGAAGTAAGTAGATAAAGTATACTGAAATAGTCATTGTCAGTGTTGTTACCTGTTGGTCTTTTTTGTTTGTTTTGTTTTGTTCTTTGGGGGGTGTGTGGCGGGGATGAAATATTCGCTTACTTGAAATGTTTGCTTACTGGTCAAGCATTAACTTTCTTGTCTATTAGCTTTTGCAAATGAACACTGATTTTCTGTGTCAATTGCATTCTAGTTCCACAGTTGCTCAACCGTCTGAGATGCCGCCATCTCCACTGGTTTGGGAGTAAAGTGGAAGATAATATACTACTGAAGATGTAATGTAGCTTTCCACTGGAGTCTGGGATTTGCAATTCTGGAGGTTAATCATGCTTGTACTGTAATTTTACTAATGAAGTTTTAAATTAACAACCACTACTTGTACAATATGAATAATATTTAGAAATGTACTAGACTTTTAATCTTGTAAAGTGGTTGTGCTTTTAGAAGAAAATATTTTACCCAGAGTTGCACGTGTTTTATGAATTCTAGTGCAGCTGTGATGGCTCAGCTCAGAACAAACAGAATTGAACCAAATTTGGGAAGGATTTTTTTTCTTTTTTTCTTTTTTTTTTCTTTTCTTTTTTTAATCAAAGAGAGCTTGTACAAAAAGATAGACATACATTTTGATATTGAGCCATTCCTGAAGATTTGGGGTTTTCTAAAACTAAGGAATACAGAAAACTTGACTGCGACCAATCATGAAGTCATGTCAGATGACAGTGACCACGGTAGGTGGGCATGTCACCTGGTGATCCAATCTATAAATAGCTTCTCACTAGAGCTGTGATGGTGATGTGTGCTGTTCTAAAATCAGATGTTGTGAGTAGAGAGAATGAGTTTGTGACTAGGAGAGACTAAACTTCTGTTTCCTTACCCAGTATAAATATATATATATATTTAATCTATTTTTATTAGAAGTTTTTTCTGCTCTTTCTTACATAAAAACCCCCCAGCATGCATCTTCTATGTGTGTAAATAATTCCATTTATGGGCTAATTTCAGAGATCCCTGACATCATTGCTGTATAGAGAGAAACTAGCTTGCACATTTTAGGTCTGTGAAATTTTGTGAGAATTTTTTCCTGCACTGGACAGTTGAGAGAAAAAAAAAGGAAAGGAAAAAAAAGCACATAGGGAATTATGTTAATTGTGTTTGTGTCTTTAGGCAAAGCTGTGGAAGTCTTGAAATGTCACAGTAGTAAATAACTTTTATTACTTTTTGGCTAATTCTTTTTCTGTTGGAACACTGAATTCTGTGCATATGTATATATGAACACAAATTGAAGGCCTCTACCTCCTGGAGTATACAACTTGGTTTGTTTACCTCCACATGATTTTTTTTTTTTTAAGTTCAGTGTGGAGACTTGAAACTTGAATGTCCCTTCCAACTTTTATATTTAAAACAAGACTAGAAAATTGAAGACTGTTTTTCACCTGTACAAAGAAATATTAAAGGGTGGTCTTAAAATTTGAACATTGGTCTGGAGAAAAACCATGGTGTTTGTTATGGACAATTAACTGTTAAAGTTATTGTAAGTTATCTGTATTTAGCAGAGTATTTTCAACGAGTGATCTGAGCTGAAATTGGAGACTATTAGTAAGTTATGTTTGGAAGTTTTAACTTCAATGAAGTAATTATTTGCTGTGAAAGAGACAAACATTGAATAACTGAACAAAGATGGTGCAATATCTTTGTTTTTTATGAGGCTCCTGAGAATAAAACCAACTGAAGCATTTCAATTCACTTGAATGAGAAACGTGTTTAATTAAAAGAGCCCAAGAAGACACTGGTATGAAAGGTAAAATCTCAGAGGTTGGTCAGTTAATGTGGCACACTTGCTGGTCACTTTGTAAAATGTAGATTTGAAGTACAGTGGTGAAAACATTAAATGTGACATTTGAAAAAGAAGTGTGTTATCTTTATTTCCTGTCTCATCTCCTACCTTTATTTAAGATTCGATTGTTACAATCTTGATTAAATGCTGTCTAAAAGAATACAAGTAAAAAGAGTTTATAACATCTTGTTTCGGGCATGGTTTTGATTTCTTTACACACGCATCTGCGTACACGCATATATATGCACATATATGTGACTTTAATGATATTCATTTACTCTTTAAAATTGATCCTGGATAAGGGCAAAACTTGCTGATTAAATGAAAACAAGCAACTTACTGGCACTTGAGAGGTTGAAAGCCATCCATGCAAGTGTAGATTTTACTCTATTTGCAAAGTTTGTGACATTTTTTACAGTGCAAATGCTTTTATCTTTTCTATACTTGAAATGGAAACAATCCAACATGCAGTGGTGTTGCAACAATATGAATAAAAATGTTCATGTTTTATGTGTATGACTTGTTTAAACAAATGGAACTGTGTAGTTAAAGCCTCAAGACCTCATAAGAACTGAAGTGACACAAGGAGGATAAGCTTCTTAGCACGGTCTGCCTTCCCAGGGGTGCCACAGGTACCGGGACTCAGGTACATGCCTCTTCTTCCACGTCTTCATACGCTTACGAGATAAGTTTTAACATGTTTTAGAACTGGTGATGCTGGTGTCATTATTGCTTCATGGCTGTCAATTGCTGAACTAGTTTTTGTTCATTCACTGCCATTTTTTATTCTGTTTGTTAGATTCTCCTTCAGCATAAGACTAGGAAACAAAGGTACATACAGTTCGTTTGTTGGATCTTTGCATTTTGACACACAGTTTTGTTAGGGTATGAGTGCATAAATGGTACAATTAGTGAAGTTTACTTTGTTCATCAGTGTATATTTTTGAGCTCATCGCTAGAGGCTCATGAGTTAATTTTGTTCTTAAATGTATTAAGAGTAAGATGTCTTTTTGAACATTTACCTTCCAGGGTGTCTTGGTATGAATGTGGGCAGGGCACTGTGCAGAATGAGTAGTTTAAAACTGGCACAATTGGCACAAATGTGTTAGTAAAATTGTGTGCACGTAGCTACCACCAACAACAAAAAAGCAGGCTAATGTTTTCAGTGGCCTCTACTGCATTTTACATTTTTAATGTAAGCTGATTACAATGAAAGTGAGAGAGCTTCTGCCAAAGACAATTTTGGGACTTGCTGTTTGCGCTACCACGAGGCTATGAATGCTTACCAGGCTGAACAGGTAGTTGTAATGGTTACTGGCTAGCGATTTTTCTAATAATCTTGTTTATGCTTTATTTTGGTAACAGAGTACCTACCTCTTCTTTATACCTGACAGAAGAACTTTTAAAAATTCTAATTTCATGGAAAACTGCCTACTTCTGCAATGCAGCTTGGGAGTGAGTAGAGCCCTTTGAGGCCTTCATCAGTGGGAGCGGGGGGAGAGCTGCAGGGGCAGCTCCCCCCCTGCGCTCCGTGCGGACGGCCCCGGCCGGGCGGTGCCCGCAGCCACAGCACCACCAAGCGAGCCCCGGGCAGCGCTCAGGGGGCCGCCTGCAGCTCCCCCAGCCTCCAGCAGCGGGCGGGGGGCTCCGTCCCTCAGCCCGCGGGGCTCGGCTGCTTCCGCCCCCCCCCCCCGCCCCCCCGGCCTCCGCTCGCCGCTTCCGCCGCGGGCCGTGCCGGGGCGGGTCCGTGAGGCGATGGCCGGGTGGTGGCGGTGCGCGGAGCGGCTCTTCGCGCTCTACTTCGTGTCGCACGTCCCCATCACGCTGCTCATCGACCTGCAGCCGCTGCTGCCCGCCGCAGGCCTCTACCCGCGCAGCGTGAGTCGGGCCCGGGGGTCCTGGGGGGGGAAAGGGGGGGGGTGCTCCTGTCACCCGGCACTGGGAGCTGCTGGGTCCGGTGATTTGGTGCTGCTGGGACTGGGAACCTGTCACTGGGGCTGCTGGGCTCCTGTCACCCGGCACTGGGGGCTGCCGAGCTCTGGTCTCGCAGCGGCCTGCTGAAAACACGGGGGAGCTGTCACTGCCACGTGGGAGCAGGCAGGCCCACAGCCACGTTGATCAGTAAAAATTTCTGCGTTGCTGGGTTTTGAATAACGTTGTAGAAGACAATTGGAATGGTAGATGAATAGAAGATGAGTGGTTTGACCCGTGCTATCAGGACGAGTGCGGTACCTTCCCACGAGCTTTACATTTAGAGCGTTTGATTTTTGCCGTTCTGTACAATTAGTTCATTAGAGAAACCATTTCTAATTAATAGTTAACCAGCAAACCTCAATACGTATCTCTCTGTTCAAAGTCCAACTTAAAGCCGTGCTGGAGCTTACATTTCTGTCATGGAAACCAACAGCAGCTCCCCAAGCCCCGATGCCTCCATCAGACTGGGGCAGCGCAGCCGCCAGCCCCGCACGCTGCCAGGCGCTGGGGGCCCGGCTGGGGCAGCTGCCCCCGGCCACCCCCGGGGAGGTGCTGAGCCCCCTGGATGGGCACTGCCAGGGGCAGGAGGGAGAGGCGAGAGTTCGTTCCTATCTGCTGATGCCAACGTGCAGCTTTGTTGTGATTTTGGTCTTGTTTTGGTAGGAAATTGTGCCGATTGCTTTCCAAAAACTATTTTTTCTCTTGTGCCATTGATACTCAGTGTATTAATCTGCAGCTTTGTTCTTTTTTCTTAAGCTGACGGAGTTGTTAGAATGGTATGCAGTCACCTTTCGAGATCCCATGATGATGCAGCCCCCAGAGTGGTTTAAGGCATTTATGTATTGTGAAGCCTTCCTACAAATGCCTTTCTTTCCCATTGCAGCGTACGCCTTCATAAAAGGTTGGTATAAAAGTGTAAGAAAATGTCCTGTGCAGCATTTATGCGTAGTGCTTTTTGGCTGCAGGCACAGTTTTATCAGTCTTAAGTGATTATAGGGACATAACCCATGGAGTGCTATTTTCATGGCAAATTTCATCTGAGAAAGAGTAGAAGAAGCCCTGTCAGAAATAAATACTATAGACTACAGACCCTTTACAGCAGCAGTCACTTATGTGAAACCAGCATCGACAATTAACATCTGGCAAGCTACCAATGTCAGCGAAGCTCTGGATCGTGCTTGTGTACTCACCACTTCTAACTGTGTGGAAATTTAGAATGAGCATGTGAAGTTTTAGTCATGAAAGCTTTAATTATTTCTCTGGGTTGCTACTCGTACTTATTTTCTAGTACATTTTTGGTATGGCTTATGGTTGTCCTGTGATAGATACAGATAATACTGCTGATTTTAAAATCACCAAATTCAGCTTGTTTCAAAACTTTTAAAATAGTTTTCTTTTTTGCTTCCATACAGGTGGTTGCAAATGGATAAGGACTCCTGCAATTATATACTCCACACATGTAGCTACATCTTTGGTTGCCATCCTTGCTCACATCCTTTTTCATGATTTCTCAAAGTCTGAGCATTTGGGTCCTCGGACACAACAGGAACGCCTAATTCTGCTATCTATATACATCCCTTACTTGCTGATACCACTTCTGATTCTTTTCACCATGCTGTACAGCCCCCAGTACAACCAAGTGGAGAAAAGGAAGAGGAAGTAGTCTGCTGTAAAAGTTGGATGCACAACATTCATACTTGTTTTGATTCAGCCCCTAGTCCTCTGGGACGAACACCTGTCTCGTGTTGTCAGTGCAACGCCTCTCACCAGAGCATCAGGCTCCCGCAAGAAAAGTTCGAATTGGCTTGAGTTTACAGCTCTCCTTTAATCAGGAGCAGCTTTGGCAGAAGCCTGAAGTGGCAGCTCCGTGTGGTGCCTGGGCTGTGCGTAGCTTAAGGGACCCAGCAGCTCTGCTCCCAGTATCGATTTTGTGTGGTACTTTTGTATTGGGAAAACGAACTTTTAACCATTTGATGTGTAACCATGTGATGGGGACGTGTGGGGGGTGGAAACTGCAGCTGACACTTTTCTTTCAACTTGCCTTTTTCCAAGAGGACTTCAGTAAGAAATCTGTCTTCTAAGAACATATCCTACAAAATCCGTAACTGATTACATACAAATTTGCAAAGCTATAATCTTTTTCTCTGCAACTTTTGAAGCATTTCAAATCATGTAACAATCCTTACCTTTCTCATCCCTTCATTTAAAATTTCACCTTCTCTTCCTCCGCTGTAATTTTGATTAATTGCAAACGTCTGGCCAGCGATAATGTGCCAAAATCTGGATTTCTGAATTAAAATTAATTTTGTTTGACAATGAGGATTTTCTTCCTAGAGGATTTTCAAGTACTTCAGTAATTGTAAACAAGGATTTGTAAACTTTTGTCTTCTGTGAAATCACTTCTGGTATGGAAATAACTAAACACATCCACATTGCCTTTAATCTTGCGAAGGAAATGACCAAAGGAAACTTAGGTTTTATTTAAGTTCTCAATCAGATCTATAAGTGACATTTGGAGACTCGTGCAAAAAATATAAGGCAAGATGAGATACAAAATGCATCTATTGGCACTTCAACATGAGGCTTGATTTTAGATCACATTTAAATCACGGGCATTCAGTTTTTAAATGTCACATTCATATTTAGATTTTTACATGCTCCTGGTGCCAGTATACACTTAGAAGGGTTTGGCTCAAGAGTTTGAAGTTCTATAGTTGAAATGCTCATGAAAATATTCTACTCTAATATCGCTACCTGCATGGATGAGTTTCAGAGTTTAATCTAAAATTCTGCTATATTTTCTAATTACTTTTTGTGTATCTGTAATAGATCACTTCTGTTATGTCTAAGAAAAACAAACTAACTAGATAGAAAAATAATCTGGTCAATACAGGTAAAAGTTACTGCTGTTTCTCTCTGTTGTGTGTTATAAACATGGAAATTACTACATATAGAAAATTCTTCACAATGACTATCCAGGGAGTTGTAAACTGTTCAGCTCAGAAAATAACACAGCAGGAACAACTAATTCTGGTATACCCAGAAAGTCCAAAAACAATAATTTATTTCTCAATTTCTTTGAAAGAGCTGTACACTTCAAAAAGTGAGACATTAACATAGGAACAGTAGAAGTAGTATTAATTCAACTATAATTTGAAATATTAACTGTACAAAAATTTTTATAAAAATTAAAGGACAGAACAGTCTTTACATCTGTTAGAAAGCCCTCCTTATTGCCACTTTTAGTGTATTTCACACTGTGTTAAGAGACACTTTCATTTGTACAAACCATCTATTCATTCATACACAGTGAAAAATTGCATATTTTTGAAATTCCCAAGATTCTGGAATGCTCCAAATTAGGTGGTTTTTTTTTGTTTGTTTTTTAATCTTAAAGTCTTCTATTTCTGAAAAATGAATTGGTCAATGAATTCATTCTGGTCCGCTTCAATCTTACACAGAGTCTCATACTCTATTCGGTACCTGAAAGAGAATATAAAAGGTTACCAGCTGATGGTTTAGCACAACGCCCATTTGTCTGAGGTAAAGGAAGCTTAGGCTAGGCATGTAAGTCATCGTTAAAGCAATGGCAGCATGAATTAAGACTCTGCAGTTCTAAACTGTCTTTAGAAGTCAGACATGTGGCACTCTGTTACTTTTATTCATTTCTTCATGAGCTCAGGCCACCTTTGTTCTTTTAGCTGTACACATCAATTAGAAATGAACTCTCAGTAAGTGGCAGTCAGGGCCTGATGTTCACCATACAAACAGCCCTGCTTCGTTCCGTGTGTGCTCTGTGCAGGACGCCCCTTAGCTGCAGACAGGCCCTTTTCAGACAGCGTCCTGCAGCCAAGCACAGACAGCAAGAACAACTTTCCAGTCTGTGGAACTGAGCCATTTCTCATGTATTACACTGCTTTCTTTTCAAGCCGTTAAATCAATGCCTAAGAAGTATTTAATAGAAAGCTCACCTTTCCAACTGCATCTTTTTCTCAGCTATTAGAGCCTGAAGTTGCTGCTCCTGAGCTTCTCTCTGCTTTGCTATAGACTTCAGCAAGTTTCGTGCGCCAATGGCCTATCAAAACAGACGTTCAGTGATGTTGTTGTACACAGATATTTTTTTAACCCCTTTCACTACCAGCAGGTTGATTCTGAAGCGTTTCAGCCACGCTAGCAAAAAACGGGGCATCTTAATGATAAATACAGGCGGAGCAGGCAGGCAGTCCCTGTGGTGGTTGGGCAGATCGAGGCATCGGAGACCTCATTTCTGCTTCCACAGTAACACGAGGAGAGAGATACCGCTTGGTGCCACGTAGAAATACAGAACGAAGCAATCGGGGGCACAGCGGGGCTGTTGGGGCCGTGCCGCGGTACCCGCCGGGCCTCCGGGCGTTCCCCTCAGCGCCCCTCAGGCCGCGGTGCCCGCCCGGTGCCCTCCTGTGCTCACCTTCATCTTCTCGCTTTCCGCAGCCTTGGCCAGCTGGTCCACCAGCTCGATCAGGCCGCCCACCGTCTTCTGGAACTCCGCGATCCCTGCCGGGGACAGGGCAGGGCCGTGAGGGGAGCGCGGCGCCACAGGGTGCCGGGGGGGGGTTGAGGGGGGTGGGGGGCACTTACTGTCCACGAAGGCCTTGCACTCCTCGCGGAGCTGCGCCGTCTGCTGCGCCACCTCGGGCTGCAGGACGCGCAGCTTGTTCAGCTCGTCGAAGTGCAGCCCCGCCGCGCCCAGCGCCGCCTGCGCCATGGCCCCGCCGGGCCCCACCCCGGCCCCTCCCGGCCCCCTCCCGGCCCCTCCCGGCCCCGGCTGCCACGGCCGCAGCGCGCGGTGGCCGCGGGGCCCGCCGGGAGCTGGGGGCGGTGGCGGGGCCGGGGCCGGGCCCGGACGCGTTTCCGGGCCGCCGGCGGAACTGAGCGGGGCGCGGCGCGGGGCGGCCGCGGGCGGGTGAGCGGCGGGGCCCGGGAGCGGGAGCGGGAGCGGGAGCGGGGCCGGGCCCGGCGGGGCCCCCTCAGCGCGGCGGGGAGGCGGCGGCGGCGCTCGGAGCGCTCCCTGCCCGCGGCCCCGGAGCGCTGCCGGGTGTTGAGCCCCTCTCGGTGTCCGCCTGTCGCAGGTGCCGCGGGGGGGGCTCCCCGCACAGCGCTGCCGGGCTCGGCTCCCTGCTGCAGGCCCGCTGGGGGTGACCGGGCAAAGCCTCGCCTGGTCGGCGGCAGGACGGAGCCTGCGGCTGCGGTCGGTGTGCTCGGTCACAGCTAGCGGGAGCCCGGTTAAAGCATTTACAGACAAACTGTCCTCGTGTGGTGCTACAATTGGTGCTGTCAGTGTCCTGGTGCTCTGCTCGGTGTCTGTTGCTTGTTACAGGACGCGTTTTGTCCGGAGTGTTTGCTTCGTTACAGTAACGGAATGGGGAGTTGCAGAATAACGCTGTTTTAGGTATTGTTCCATGTTCAGTAGTTATTAAGATCTCTAGCAATTTTAAGATACACCTGAAGCTGGTAAATAACTTGCTGTACGCATGGTAGCGAGTCGCGGGGTTTGTACCACGCTGAAAGCTGAGGTGGGTGAGAAGGAAGAAGGATGTGGGAAGAACAGTAACGTCCTTAGCAGATTTGCAAATGTGCAGGTTATTATATTTATTTATAAAGGATTACTCATGTCCTACAGTCGTGGAACAGAGAAGGGAGGAAATATTTGTAGTCTGAAATAGTTTTAACAAAAAACAAAGAAACAGCAAAATGCTTTTGAGAACAAGAGTTATTAAAAAGAAGGATAGATGAGGGAGGAGGTTGTATTTTTACTTTCCCAATTAAAGAACTTCAGATCCCACCTGTTAGGCTGAATTTTATTCTGTTTGTTTCCAATCTGAGCTCATCTTTGATGGAACGATAAGTGTAGTGAGACAGAGGAGAGACAGAAGCAGCGAATATATGGCTTTTAACGAAACAGATATTCCAAATAGTGGCCATACTTTGAGGGTGGGATGGGCCTAAAAATAATAAAAAATTAAAATTACATTGACTGGTTTTCCGGGATAGAGGAAAAAAGCTTTGAATGAAAGGAGTTGTCAGGAAACAGAAAGTTGTATTGGAGCATTTCACTGGCAAGGCGTTTGAGGAAGAGGCTGCTGCAGGCTCTGTAAATGCCTGCAGTTCAGCTGCAGCGGATATCAGAAGTGCTTAAGGCACTGCCATGAGTTCTTCCATCCTGCTTCAGATCTGCACAAAAAAGTTACGTTCTTTCAGGAAGTTGAGAGGCAGCTGAATTCCATCCAGCATTTCAGCTTGGGCTGCAGTATTGTGTGCTGATTGTGGTGTTGGCTGGAGCCTGAACAACAGGAAGTCCAGACAAGTTACCCTGACCTTGCTCACAGTGATGTGGTCGTAACTTGGCTGCGTGGTGCTGAGCAGCCACCGCAGCGCTGTGCGAGCTGTTTGAAAAACACCTAGATCTTGTTTTGTCAGAATCTGTGTGGATGTGTGTTTAGGAGTCTCCTGAATTTGTCTCTTCTTTAACATGGACTTCATGGTTCTGTTTCTTCATGGAAGTTGTGGGCTTCTGTGTTGATCTTACGTTTGTGTTTCAGGGGTCCGGTGGTCGTGACCGTTGTGGCCTCACCGTCCTCGCCCAGTGACTTGTGACTCGTCACCAATCACGGCGGAGTCCATCAAGCCCACGCTCTGCAGGGTTGTCATCTACCTACAGAAGGAGATGTCGGGGGACACGTGTCTAACCACCACCCTTTGTCCAGCTGCAGGGCCCAAGCCCAAAGCTTGCAGCTTCAAAGGAGGCAGCCTCGGTAACAAGTACGTGCGGCTAAACGTCGGGGGCTCCTTGTACTACACTACAGTGCAGGTACTGACCAGGCACGACACGATGCTGAAGGCCATGTTCAGCGGCAGAATGGAAGTGCTCACGGACAAGGAAGGTACAGGAATGTCTTCTGTTACTGAGAGTTCTGTAAAACAACTGGGTTTTGTTTTTCAGATATGTTAAGACTATGCCCTGTGAAAGATGTATTCCAAAAATAACGTGGAACATTAGGTGGCCACATCCCATTGGCTGTAACGATCCTCTGTGCGTTATAAAAACGTGTTCTTTCATTACTAAAATTAACGAGCGGAAGGACTGGTTCTCTTTCCTGCAATCGCAGTTGGTATGCAGATTGTTGATGTTGTTATCAGGACTGAACAGACAGCATGTGGGTTGTCATTTACGTGGTGTTGTGCAGTGGCATTAATCGAAATGTCTGTAGGGAGGGGAGATTCAGTTTTCAGCATTAAAACTCAGGACAGCCTTGCTTGCTGTGTTGAAGACTTTTTTTTTTTACCCTTCCCAGCAGCATGTTCTGCTTGTGGCTGACAATGTTGCAGTGGTATTTGGCCATCAGGCAAGTATTGTGTTACCTCCTGCTGGATACCGAGTATTGGCAGCAGAAAAATTCATAATAGAGAGTAGGACAATTAAGAGAAGTAGTATTTGTCAGCAGTGGATATGAATATTTTAACTTCCCGCTCCATAGTACTTCAGGTAAAAATGGTACCTTAGGAATCAGGGCACTGTGGGGAAGTTCAGAGAAGATGCCAAGTATTTAGCCTCTAGTGGTTTCCAAATGCTCATCGGTGAAAGCTCTTCTGCTCGTCTTCAGACAGCTGCAGCTGGAGACTAGCGGTGGGTTAGCCGTCTTCCCAATGTTGTCTTCTATGCTTAGGTCCCCAAATATATATATATATATATATATTTTTTTTTTTTATTTATTTATTTTTTTGCCTGCCTTCCACGCTATGGAAAAGGATTTGGCACTGTATTAAGACCTCTGCCTACGTATGTCCTCCACTGCTATTGTTTGCCAGAAAGTCAGACATCCTGTTTGCTAGCGAGCGTCACTTCAGGGATGTTTGGAACTGCAAAAACTGTCTACTGCTGTTTCCTGTGCTGCATCCCTCCTCTGCTCTCTACTGATCTACCCCTGTCCCGTTCTTTCCTTCTGTTTGGAAACTAGAACAATGGGTTTTTACAGTGTTTTTTTTGGGGCTAGCCTACCTTTTAGCATCTTTGGAACACTTCTCTTTAACTCTGAGCAGGAAAAGATATGGTGGGAAAACTGCCAAATCCTTCTAATTAGGCCGCAAAACTTAGACCCAGTCTAATTTGTTGCAAACGTTCTTGAGTTCTCTATTGTAGTCGTTCCTTGGCTTTCTTACTGGTAAATTTTGAATTGCTCAGCATTACACTGTAGCAACAGTTCTTACATCTATTCCCAAACACAGCACACCTCCATTTTGCTAGGAATACAAGTGTCTAAATAGAACTATCAACCTAGCTAACAATAAATATTGCTTTTAAGGCTTGAAATGCTCAGTCAGCCAGTTAAATAGATGTAAACTAATGACTTCATTTGGTAGTTGTAAAGGTCCACTCCTTTAATCAAAACATAATACAGAAAAGATGAAGCACAGAAAATAACGTTGGTCCAGCAGCACACTGCCTGATCGATAGTCATGGGCCTGCTGCATTGTTTTAATGCCTAGTGATAGCAAGCTAAGTAGTTCTAGTTTGAGGCTCTTCTTCTGGCGTGCTGGCAAGTAGTGAGAACATAGGAGGTACCAAAAGAATGGTTCCACAGTTGGGTTCTGTTCTGTAACCAACTTCAATTTGCTGAAAGTTAATAAAGACTTCCACTGAACGAAATGGGAAGAATATCGTGGAGTTCAGGAAGCACTTATTCAACCTTTCTGAGCAGCTTTTTCTTGCCTCCTAGTGTTGAGGTCATTGAAATGTCTTGATGGTTATTTTTCAGGTTGGATCCTTATAGACCGCTGTGGGAAGCACTTTGGAACAATTTTAAACTATCTCCGAGATGACACAATTGCACTTCCAAAACACAGGCAGGAGATCAAAGAGCTGATGGCAGAAGCCAAGTATTATCTCATTCAAGGCTTAGTGGACATGTGCCAGGCAGCCCTGCAGGTAAGAAGTAGAAGTAGCCTGTAAAATTTTTGGTGTGTGCATTGCTTATAAAAATTCCTGTAGACAACACGAGAGTTTCATGTCCTTAGAGATGCATCCAGTTGTAGATAGACAAAGTAACGTAGCAAAAATGAAACAGCAGTCAAGTGAGATCTTTAGAATAAACATGGCTGTTTTGAATGTGTGTTTTAAAAGATCTTATGGGATTTGTCTAAAAGTCCTGCAAGTTATGTCGCTTCCAATTAGATAATGCTTATAAGCAGCACCCGTTCAAGTAACTTCATGTTTTTTCTAAGTTTAAATCTTAATGGAGAAAAAGATTGATCTGGTAAGCACTCATTACTTTAAGGACTTTGCTTTCTATTCTTTTATTACTAGGCATTGCAGATACGTAAGCCCACGTTGGCTTTATTCACTTCACTAGTCTCTAGAAGTTCAAGTTCAGCTGACTGAAATCAGCTTGTTTTGCCAGTTTTTTAATAAGGTTAGCCCAGATATAATAGATATTATTTCATAATCTTAAGATTAATGATATTTTTTGCACGACAAAAATCTCTCATTATGTTCAATATGCTTCTTGTATCCGCTGAAATAAATGCAAAGGTTCACTGACAATTTTCCTTTTGGTTTGGAATTTAAAATGTTTTATCTAAAAACAAAATGTTCTAAAGCTTTCCTATTAGCTATTGAGCTCTCCTTAATTTGCTACATGAGGAATCTGGAGTCACAGGCTGTACCACACGCTCTTGATTGTTGCTTTTGTATCACAGGGGGCTGAAGTCCGTTTTGGTGACATGCTGTTCTTGCCAAATGTTCAGTTCATAATGGGTGATACTCTTACATACCGCAGTGTT